GTGTAATTATATATTATATATATATAAAATATATAATGTAAATGAACAGACAGGGAGAAAACCAAACTGCTGTGGTTTTCAGGTTTCTGTAATAGAAGTTGATAGTATTGCCATTCCCATTGCAGGATGTCTTCTCAAGTATGTTTTTTTTTATCCTGTATCAAAGAGGATGATCTTTAAAATAAGAATGGAAGACAGTGTGACTAAAAGTGAGTTATGCCATCTTGTATACTGTGTATCTTTTTGTAGTGGTGAAAGAAAGTGCAGTGCTTTTGCAACGGACTGATCCAATCCCTTGTCTCCTGTGGTACAGAGGAGAGATCTCTGGAGCGTGAGGCTTGAAGATAGCCTTGGGCTTTTGTAAGCCGCTGTGAGCGAGTTGGAGGGTAATTGCATCAAAGAGAGCAGCTCACTTCCCTTTGCATTGCCCTCCGCAGCAGGGAATTTTATTTTCTTGCAGAGAAAGGGGGAACATACAGTGTGTATTATATTAAAAAATATCCTTCAGTCATTGTATACTGGAGTAAATTCAGTTTGTGGTTCAAGTGTAACTTGGAACCATTCAGCAAAGCCATGCTGTAGTTGAATTTATAGTCAATGGTTAAAGTAAATTCAGAGAAGGGAGAGGTGTGGCAGTGGCTGGTTCACTCAAGACAGGAAGAGAAAGATCTTCCTCTGCTTTTAGCAGAAGACAGGAAGAAAAGCTCCATTGCGCAGTCTCCTCTGAATATCCTTCTTGCTAACATCAAAATTGACAAGGAATCAGTTTAAATATTTAAGTGAAGTAGTACAGTGGGAGTGAAGAAACCGCACATTACTTAAGCTTCAAGATGCATACCTAAAACGATATTTGAGGTGCAATCAATAATGAATATGAAAACACTTGTTTCCTTCTAAAATGTTTGTATGCTAATTTTAAACATCCAAGGTCAAGAACACCCAAAATGTGTACATAGTGTACAAACTAGTGGTTACAATTTAGAGAATTTGCTTGTTCTTTTCAAACGTATAAAAATAGTATTTTGAAGTCTGTTAAAGGAGAGTAGCAAAAGTAATGTAACTTTGAAAAACATGCAGAATTAATTTATGTCCATTCCTATTTAAAAAAACCCCTGTTCAAATTCTGAACACCTTGAATAATCTCTGTTAGGCCATTAAGGGGTGCTTATATTTAGGAAAAAATAAGGTTATATTAAAATGTTCCATTTAAAATTGTCCTTGGTTGTTTAGTGTTATGACCCATATAAAACATGGTAAAACATTGTGGTCTCATCGATAGGAGTGTTTACAAAGCATTGAAAGTGAGCACTTGATCAAAGCTGAATACAGTTTGAAGATGCTGTTTGTAAGTATAGGTTATCCTTATAAAGTTTATTATGACGTGAACTGGAGTGATTTACTAGCAGCTAGGTTCTGGATTTCTGTCAGAGGCATATAGTCCTTTTATAGTCCTTTGCTCCCTATGTAAAAACCTGAAATGTAATAAATGCACCAGAAAGGACAAAATCTTATTTAATTCTAGGTCTTTTACAAGGGTAGTGTGCTTGAAGGCATTGTGCACTCATGCTATTTGCTGCAGTGTTCAAGCGCTCTGTTTGTATCACAGCAATACTTGAAGTCAGGTTTTCATTCTTTGAGCAACATCTTAAAAAAAAAAAAAAGAAAAAACAAAAACCCAAACAAAAAAAACCCCAACCAAACAAAAACCACCCCTTCAGTAAAACCTAGACCAATCAAACCCAACCTAAACCTAGCACCTCTGAAGGCATGGTGAGGGCTGGAAGGTATTCATAGAACCAAAACCACAAACTGCAGAGTGGAAGCAGCTGCTAAAACTCACTCTGCCTGTGCCTGCTTCGAGTGTCTTGCCCTTTTGGACAAACTGAACCAAGAGATTCATGCACTGTGCTGCTTGTGCAGTTTGGACTTTCTCAGTTCCTTATAAGAGCAGAACTGTCCAGGGAAGCTTTCATGCTTTTGGACTAGGTTGGTCACTAACCTGAAGTATGATAAAATGAGATTTTAAGCACAACTTTTGTTTAATGTGTATAGATCTGTGTTTAGAATTTGATATGGATATTAAATACTTGCTTATTATAGTCCTAATAATACGGTATTGAGTTTTACAAATTCCTGGAGAACATTCGATTTTGCTTCTCTCTCTTTTGGGTTTGTGTGTGTAAGTAATATTTAGTGTGTGCAGTCCCTTGTAGTTAGAGCTGCCTGTCCCCACTATTCCAGATCAGGAGCTTGTATGATCACAGGTATCACTGCCTATAAAAGGAATAAAATGCTAAAAATATTCAGCCCACGAAAGGCGTGGAGGAGGAATTCGGTTGATGAAGGGGTCCAACCTGCTCTTTGCTATTGCTGGAAACTAGAGTTATGCTTTTATTTTAAATGCTGCCTCAGACAAAAATGCTATAGATACTTTACATTTATAATGTAAACATATGACAAAAAGTATTGCTTGGTGAAACTGAGAGATGTGAAAAGAAAACAACAGAACTCCTCAGTTTTTAATATTTCTAACAGTGTCAGATCTTTTATTTTTACTAAAAGAGGAAAACATGCCCAGCCTTAACCTGTCATTTTGGACATCAGGTCACCTGTCCTTTTGTATCTTCCAGAGTTGTTTTTTAAAATGTTCTTCTATCTCTCTGGCTTGGCTTGCGTCCCTTGTGCCAAACTGCCCTCCTCCCTACTTCACCTCTCCTTACAAGACTGAACAAAATGTCACATCTTTCATAGTTTTTTATTCTCCAGGGCTTTTGAAGTTCCAGCAGTTTGCATCTCTGTAGTCAGCTTATATACAAACAGAAAGAGCTAACACCCAGGAGGTTTTTTGTATTGGATTTTTTTTCAGTCTGGAAAAAGGCTTTCCTTGTCGCGTTATTTATTCCTGAAGACACTGTGAAGATGCTGGAGAAAACTGATACAAAATGAGACTTCCCTAGGGCAATGCATGTATGGTACCCCCTGTCCAGGAGGGAGAAAGTGGAGGTTCACATACCCGGAGCCAGCCAGGCTTCCCACGGCAGCACCTCCGAGGTCTCCTCTTGCAGCTGGGAGCTGGGGCTCTGTGTTCAGAGGAAATGCTCATCACTGCCAAAACCAGCTTTTACAACAGTTGAGTTACCCTTGCTCTCTCTACATAAAAGCATTTGGCACCTGGTTTCAAACTGTTTTTCAGAGTTGCTGGCAGGCTCCTGTCAGTCACAAAAATTCTTGGCTCGGGCTGGTGGATTCTCTGCCATGGTTCCCTGGGACATTTGGACTATTTTCCTTAATGCTACTATGCCAGTGCTAAGCCTTGATAGGAAAGGATGGAGTAGTCCTCAGGTGTGTTTCCTGAGGGCGTAGGTCAGTGGAAATGGAAGAACGGACATGGACAATGAGAGATGCCAGAACTGGGGTAGCTGAAGGTGATGTCTGTGAGGAAACAAGCAGCATCCTGCGGCTGGTGATGACCCCTCTGGAAAGCAAATCTATGACTTTATATGGCAGCTATCACTGCCCTACAGTTGGATTTCATTATTTGAATGAGATGAAAATCAGTATTCAAGCATACGTGAAGCTTTGTGTAATCAAAACCAGGCTATTACATTTTTACCTGCTGGAGGTCTGCAGACTGTTTTGTTCCTAAGAAAATGCTTGTGTGGGTGTCAAGGCTGTAAATTGCTTTTCACGTGTTTGTGTCTGTATTACTTCAACACTTGCAGGTTATGCCATAGCAGTACTTCATAGAGATGTATTTGCATAGCTGGTATTTGAAATTTGCCCTTTTGTTTTGAAGGGCCTGCTAGAGGTGCCATTATGTGAAACAAAAGGGTTTGCTTTTAGGCAAACCTTTTTTTTTTTATTTTCCCTTTCCTCTTTTTAATGAGTTTTCATTCATTCTGCCTTTTTCACAAAGCCCTCATCCTTTTTCCTTCCCTAGAGGCATCTGGTTTGATTAAAACTGACCTGAACCAACCCAGAGTACTAACACTTATGATACCAGAACAAGGCAGATGGAGAGAAAATGTTCAATTTAACTTATGAACACTCTTTACTTTGAATAATATGCTCATTAGATCAGCAGCTCTGTAATCACCCTGGAGTTGTCTGGCTACATGTCGTTTTTCACATCTGTCAACCAAGTTAAATTCAAATTTAAATATAACAGTTCATAGAGATCTTTTGGTTCAAAAGTTAATGCTGGATTATAGTAAAATATTAAGACATGTTTCTCTTCCTCCTCCTCCCCCTCTTCTGTGCCAAATGAACTATTGATCCAGGGCTGTCCAGAACCGGGTAGACTGCAGAGTAGTGTATGGTAAACATTTCTTAATTCAAGTCTTTTGAGAGTATATTCATGTATGGCAATTTCATCTTATCTCTGGCAAAACTATGATTTCTGTTTTCCTCTTTTCTCTTTTTCCCTTCTCTCTTCTATCTGATGTATGAGTGAAACAGCTTAATGAAAACTCGCTCAGCATGTGAGTTTTCACTCGGGCCCCTCAGTTCAAGAAGGATGGGGAATTGCTTGAAAGAGTCCAGCAGAGCCACAAAGATGATGGAGGGGGTGGAGCATCTCCCTTATGAGGAGCGGCTGAGGGAGCTGGGTCAAGCTTGGACAAGAGGAGACTGAGGGGTGCCCTCATTCGTGGTTATCAATTTGGAAAGGGCGAGTGTCAGGAGGAAGGAGACAGGCTCTGATCAGTGATGTCCAATCAAGCAAGCTGGAGCATAGGAGGCTCAGTCTGAACATGAGGAAAAACTTCTTCACTGTGAGGGTGACAGAGCACTGGCCCAGGCTGCCCAGAGAGGTTGTGGAGTCTCCTTCTCTGGAGACATTCAAAACCAACCTGGACGTGTTCCTGTGCAACCTGGTCTGGGTGATCCTGCTCTGGCAGGGGGGTTGGACTGGATGAGCTTTCAAGGTCCCTTCCAAGTCCTAACATTCTGTGATTCTGTGTGGGCATGAGTAGCAGTTCTGGCTTTGAAATGCCCTGGATATGAGACACTTGGAATTGGCCTCCTAAGATGCTTACCCTAGTGGTGCAGAGTGTATATGTTTGTTTTCTTTAGGAACATTGGATTTCTACTTGCTCTGGCATTTTTTTTTTGTAATCTGCCCTGAGCTCTGGGCAATGTATGTATATATCCAGATAGTTAATATGTGCACATGTATATCTCAAAACTCCCTACCTTTCATTACTCATGTGCATGTCTCAAAGTAGGTTGGTATTGGAGATGTTTTTCATTGGCAATTAACTGCTTTATGTGATGCTAATTTGTTTCTGTGTATCTGCTAAATAAATGAAGAGGGAGAGAGCAAAGCTGTTTTCAACAAAATGTAATGCTCAAACACTGAGCGAAATGTCCAGATTTTGAAAAAAGACTTGATATGTAATATGGTTGTGAATTCTTCATGACTTTCCTTTTTCTTAGAAAAACATATCCTGATTTAATTGCGTACATGGAAATAGTTGCTTTAAAGATCTAACTCACAAGTGAGTCTTTCTGTGTTTTATTGAGAGAAACTATAAAACTGTTACCATTAACATTTGTTGATCACTTCACGTTTTCAGTTTAGGTAAACATCAGAAATAAAAATTGGGCCTAGTCCTGACAGTAGCTGTCAGTAGCAAGGAAGTGATGCCTGTGTCGGGAGACAGTGAGTTGGAAAGTGATTTACTTCTGTTTCTTCTAGAAGTGGAGAAGTACTTTTAAAATGTACTTTGTTCTTGAACTGCATGATTTAAGTTCTTTTTTAAGAAAAAAGATTAAAAAGTGACTCTCGCCAAAATAATTAAAAAGGTGCATTTTAAACTCGGGCACACCACTGCTATGGAAAGAAGTAAAATAGTCCCTCTAGTGTACTGCTGCTGTAAGTATGCATAGGAATATGTGATGTGATTTACTGAAGAGTATGGCTGCAGGAAATTACAAAATAACGTTTCGGCAAAGGATATGAAAGTGCTTACGTAAACCGGAGAGTCCGACCTACGACAGTAAGTCAAGCGAAACAATAAGAAACAGAAAGCCAAAAAAAAATTCTGCTGTTCGAGTAATTAATGAAGTAAAAAGTTAACGTGTAGTACAAGGTGGTTGCTTTGGCCAGCTGTGCCTGAAACATGAGTGAGGAGCAGAGCCGCTTGCTGGGGCACAGGCTGAGGTGTGCTTCCTCTTGCAGGGCCGTAAATTTGAATTTCATGCCTTATTTTGCATAGACTTGCTATATACTGAAAAGTAACTTGGGTGTTCACATCTTGAAGCAAGTGTGGCTTTTTGATGTGACTTCTAAAGAGTTGCTTAACCTCTGTCTGACGGTGTTAGTGCAAAGGAGCTGTATGGAGACGGGCGCAGGTGGGGCTTCCTTTTATGCCTGGAAGTTTCTTTCTGACGTCTTCCAATTTCAGGTTGGCTGCAGAAGAGTCACAGAGTTACTGAGCTTTCCAGTGTGAAGGGATGTACTTATTGCAGAATGTTTTGGAATAGAAATATTTTTTCATGGGTTGTAGCTAGCCAGAACATAAACATGAATCTTGTTATCTAGTTTTTACCGCTTGTTCCTGGTAATAGCATGTGTGCAAAGGCCCTGCAGCCCTCTGTGCAGTTGTGTGTTGTAGAGCAGTGCCAGCCATGGCAGCCCTGTTGTTCTGGACTTTGTACAGGCAAGGAGTGCTACTTTTGCACTTAAACTAAGATCAAGTTTAGCATTATTCAAAGGCCCAGGAGCATCCATCCGAGTCCTTGCTATGGAAGAGAACTGGGCAATCTTTTAGGGTTAAATGGTTGAAATGGATTAAAGCTCTGCCAAAAGGAAGAGAACAAGGCAAAAAAAGCACACCAGAAGCATTAAATTGAATGTTATGGACTTTAATGTGTATGGTAGACTGCAATTTTGGAGTTCAGAATTGCACTGTATTATAACTTCCATCACATTAGCTGTATAGGGCTTCAAACTAGAACTGTGCTGAAAAACTCCTGAGTCTTTGTCAGTTTGAAAATTGGACATTTTGCTGGGTTTTGTTTGACTGTTTTGATGAATGTCTTTTCAAACTCTGATGGCTTTTCTGACAACTCAGCCCAAACATAACTGCGACCTTCCCCGTGGACCTAGAAATTCGAGAACTCTCAAGAGTTTCTGCAGTGGCTCAGAAACAAAGAACTGAAATTTCATCTGGAAGGAACATCTTTCTTTGCCCTACTTCATGTTGGAGCAAATACATTTACACGTGTGTGGTGTTGAAATATTGTGTTGACCAGAAGTGCTGGTTTCATGTACAATTCCTTGTGTAAGTGCTCCTGACATTTCTCAGAATTTAAGGAAACTACAACTGCAAGAACAAGAGCCCTCAGTAGAAACCGTTTTGTTTCTTGACAGAGCACTGTTTTAAGCTGTGCTTTAATAGGAGCAGTCAGCGGGCAAGCATTACCTTTTATTTTGTGGAAGTGGTGTCTGTTTTCAATGATATATTTTAATCTTAAATACACACTGAAGTGGTTAATGGTCTTCACTTCTTAATTGTTTTGTTCTGAAACAGAAGAATAGCAATCTCTGTCCATTATCTGGAGAGCACAGGGTGTCTGATGAGACACTGAGAGCTGTTGTGATGATTACCATTTTCTTCTTAGACAATTATCCAGTGTTCAGGTTTCTGATAGAAATCTGCCCATTGGCTTCTGAGCATGTTAGTTTGCTCTTCCTACCGTGCCAGACTCTCTCCATTCTACGAGCAGTGAAAATTGCTAATTTAGGCTAAAAACCTAATTGTTTTCTCTAGTCATATAGTTCCTTTCTCTCTGCTTTTCTCTGTGTGCATATTCTCATAAACACTTTTCTGGCTTCCTCAATGTGTGGATTTTTTTTTTCCCCTCTTGAATGAAGGTTTCATATCAGTTCCTGAAAACGCTTTTCTATTCCTTTTAATTTATAAGTCTTCTTTTTGCTTGTGTGTGTTTGATAGCTGTAGAATATAATTTGGCTGTACGTTTTGGGAATGACATTTGGTAGTTATCTGCCTAAAGTGAATATTTTTTTTCTTGTACAGATTTTTTTGTTGTTATCTTGAAGCAACCATAGTTAGCTGAAAAGAGTAAGCTGTACTTTCACTGGATTTGATTATGCTAGATAAGTGAGATCCCATCTAAAGAAAAGGGTTTGCTTGGGTGAAGTGGTTTGCGGAAGATTTTCTGTGTGCTGAGAAATAATGCACTGAAACACAGAAGGGATATTTAATTTGCTAGGCTTGCTCCCCTCTGTTTTGATTATTATTAAACCTCTTTTCCTGTGATTTTGTGAATCAGTGTTCACCCATCTGTCAGGACAGATCATTTTGCTAGCTATTGAATTTTCGGTTAACTTCCCACAGTGTTTTGTCTTGTGCTGCTCAGCTGTCCTTGCAGTCCTGCATGGGGATATTCTCACAGGTGTGCACAGACAGGTTCTTGTCTGGTACAGAAACCAGAACACCCCTGTAACAGACTTCTTACAGGAGTGTTCTTAAGTTTTTGACCTTTTGACTAATGTGAAATACTTTAAATTAAACTTTATGGTTTATTCAGTCAAATTTTATTCACAATTTCCAAAACTTATTCTAGGCTGCTTTGAGGAATTAATGTGTTAACTTTAATTATGTTCATAGTATACTTATTTGTCTTCATTATTCTTTGACTTTTATGTAAGGCAAAACCAGATACTACGGGAGTAGTTTAACTAAGTTCTTTCTGACTTTTGTTGGTCTGCTCATGGGACCTGATTAACTTTGGAGGTTCTGTAATGTCAGTTTAAGCTGTGTAGTTGGTGATTATTCTCTGTGGTTTTTACTTTGTTTTTCCCCTGTGTAAACATGTCGTACTTTTAACTTTGTGTTTTATGGTCAGGTTAGTTGTGTAATTAGAGCTTCAAAAATAAACCAATTTTAATTATGGAAATTATTCCCAGATGACCATGGAATATAGAATTGCTGTACTGAGTTTTGATACTACCAATAAAAACCTTTGGAAACTTCAGTTCAGCTTAATATAGTTTTTAAATTGTAAAGAACCAACCTTAAACTTCTGCAAAATTCAGGGGAACCTTGTCATTGGAAGTATGGTAATTCAGATTGGGTGTCATTTTGGCTCTTTTTCTCTCTAGCAAATGAGACTTGCCAATCTGTTAGTCCTCAAAATAACAGAAATATTTGTGACAGAGAGGACATGCTATGCAGGCTACAAGCTGGTCTTGTATTACAGCTGACAGCAAAATAACTCCATGTATGTGACCATATGTACGTGTACTCTATCCTCCCTAATGTTCTCCCTCTCTTGTTGTATAACCTTGAGGTAACAGGAGGTATTTTCTTAGAATGAGATCTTGCAGACTGCTGCCTTCTTCTAAAAATAAACAGAGCTTATGGGCTTAAATGTGCAGCTTCTTTAACTATTTGGCTAGGAAGCGTTTAATTTTTCATTGCAAGCCAGACCCGAAAAGGTGGCTTTCTGCTGATTTGGCATTTGGCTCCCTCTACTGGATAGTGTTTGGTAAAACTCAAATTAATACTTTGGTTCTGGAGCTACCAAAAAAAAATATTCAGTGCAGTCTGCAGGATAAAATTTGATTACAATTGCATCCAGGTCCAGTTGCATATTGAATGCTTAATTAGTGACGTATATGACCTATTTTTAAGTCCATTGAAGTTGTTTTTTACTTGTGCTAGAACTTGTAAA